GGTATCTAAGAATGATTGAAGAATGCATGCATGATCCAACCAGGGTTTCCATTTTACGGTCAAACACAAGAAAACTATGGAAACAAGTACATGTTGATTTCCTTGAAGGGAAATAAAAACCTGTTTTGTTGATGGCTACAGTAAGTAGGTAAATGTCTGATGCACAAGTGCTAAAACTGTTGAGGTTTTCTGAAGTTGGTTTGCAGTTTGAGTTGCCAGAGAATTTAAATCAAAAGGGTTTGAAATATTTCTGAGTAAGAATGGAATCCAAATGCACCACCATATCCCCAACATTGATTTAAGCTGCAGAATGAAGTGTATACATTGTGGAAAGGCCTTTATAGAATTATTTGTTCAATGACAAACTAGGCAGTAATTTCTGTACTTCCCTTTGACACAGGCGGAAAATGTTCTGTTATCTTATAGAGTAATCCTGCAGTCTACAACAGATTCCTCACTTTTACAAGTTGTTGTTTGAACATGATCATAGGACAAAGCTTACTTTATTACTGATATCAGTCTTAAAAGAATTAAGAGAAAAGCAAGGCAAAGTGAAGATGTACAATGATATGTGAAGCATGAAACATGGACAGCTCAATGTTGTCAGATGGTCATAATGAAAAACTACTGAGACTATAAGAAGCTAAGATAATATGGAGAGATGTGACTGGCATTGTAAAAACATAAGAGCAGTTACATATCGATTGAAGATTACAGAAATACTCCATCAATGTAGATCACTTGCTTGAAAAGGATGCCTGTCAAAGAGAGAGCATAAGAAACCTTGTATAGTCCAAATTGCTCCTACAATTTCAAGGGAAAGTAAAAAGGAAGTGTAAATCACAAAGAAACTGAAAGTTTTCTAGTATCACATTATCCTACATAGAGCAGAGTGAGTTAGGGTCTTTGACTGATTGATCAATCAGTGCTATAGTTCTAACCATTTGTGGAGCTGTTAGCAGAGTCAAAGTTCCAGTTTGACATGATGAGAGATGTTGAAGGAACAGGGTCAAGTGGATTGAAGTAGAAGGAGATGAGAAAGAGAAAAAAAGCCAGATAGGTTAATTGGCAGAGTGTCATAAAGAGGAAGAAATATATATTGTTTCATTATTAACTTTAAGTAAAAACATTTTTATGTGTAACTCTAGGAGTATTAGTGGTTATTGGTGGAAGTATGCAATCCAGCTTGTTAAATTTTCATGTATTGCTGATATTGGTTTAGTCATAATATGTTCTGGTAACTTTTATATCCATGTGACATTTCTGATGAGCTATGCGCTGTGAGAAGTCTTTATTTTATATGATTTTCTTTAAGAACAGAGTGAACTGGGGAATATTCTGAAAGTTAATTGGTTTCCTAATTATGATATCATTAGTTACCAAGAAATTCCCAGCAAAGAAGCAGAGTAAATTGAAAACTAATTGCAATGGGTTTGGGTCATTCTGCAGTTTTCTGTTTGCTAATTCAAAGCACTTCAAGAATTCATGAAAAGTGGAAACAAGTAAGGTTCTCTTCAAATGAAATAGTTTTCTATTTGTCAGTCATCAAATGGTTCTTGATGTTGAAGCAGGCCTCTGAGAATAAAGTAGGGACTGTGTAGCTGTCATTCAATGGAATCAGAAAAGAGCTGAAGACAGGAAGTGCAAAGGATTATGGCTTGAACGAGACCCATTGCTGTTTCAGGTTTGTCAGAGCCCACCAGAATGTTTAGAGGAATTGAGAAGGGAGTCTCTGGGAATTCTGTGGCATCAGGTTTGTCATAATCCAAGTGAGAGAGGATTCATAGACATGTGCCTTGCCAATGTTGACCATGTCTGGTGACATCAGATGTTCTGCTGTGAACGCAACTCAAAGGTTGAAACAATTGGATGGGACATGAGAGATCCTACAAAATGAGGAGTGTGCTGGAAAGACTGAGATTGCCCATGGTATTACATTTTTTTAAAGGAGTTAATTAGTGTTGTAACTATGTACCACATGTCTTAGTTATATTGATTATTTAAAGGAAAGTTTACTTTTGTTTGTGAATCTCCATCATCTGTTAATGTCTGAACTATAATTGTTGGAGAAAACATTTGAAATTTTTTCCATCAGGTTTCTTTCCATTGGCTTCATAAGGATTCCTTTCTTTTAAACATGATTGATTTATGAGGGATCTTATCACAATTTACATTTTAATGCATATATTATTTTTAAGTGGGAAGGAAGTTTTGGGCATTTGAGCAATTGCTCAAGCTTTTGTTACATTGCCCTTCCTGCTACCTTCTTGGCTGAGGCAGTATAAGTGAGGATAGTGCAATAATAACTGCCTGCAGTTGAGCATGTGCTGGTCTTACTCAGTGCAATACATGACAAGTGAGTACAAAGGTGAAGGATGAATGGGAATTAATGCAAGTTAACATACTTGCAGCAGAATTGGCTGACCTAACATTTATGAAGGGTAGAAAATTGAGTCCATTGGATTATCAATTATAAAGGTAACAAATGTACAGTTGTGGGTTTCAGTAGCAGAACTGGGTTGGTAGTGGAATTGGGTAATATTACAGAGTTGGAAATAGTTGTGCCATGCATATATGCTCAGAGTATAACCTCATAATTATGCATGGCACCAAGATTACAAATAGTTTGGAATAAAAACTGAAAATGCTAGAAATACTGAGCAAGTCAGGCAGCATCTGTGGAGAGAGAAAAAAATAATGTTTTCAAGTTGATAACCCTTCATTAGAACATTCTGGTCCAGTGTCAGGCAGTTGTCAGGGAGAGGAATAAAGTTAATTTCTTGGAAGTGGAGTTTATAGCTGGGACTGAACACTCTGTGTCTCTAATCTATCAAATAACAGAAGTGCCTCATTCCTGCTATAATTCTAAGAAATCTCTTCTATTTTCTACGCAAGGCCTTAACATCCTTCCTAAAGTACGGTGTACAGAATTGAATCCAGACTCCTGTGTTTTACGTAGGTCTAATATAGGTGGATTGCTCTTGTAGTCCTCACAGTTATTAGTAAAGTGAAAAATCCACACGGTTTTGTTTAACAGTTTCCCCCACCATTCAACCCATCATGCTGCACCAGCTCTCTGAGTAATCATCTTGCTGCACCAGCTCTCTGAGTAATCATCATGATTTAGTGCTATCCCCGTTGCCCCCCTCCCCCTCCCATTGTTTCCATATGTCTGCACACTGTTTCAATTTAAATAATCAGCTAATGCCCCTTGAATTCCTTGATTGAAACTTACCACATGTCCAGGCAGTGCATTCCAGAATCAAACCACCTGCTGTGTGATAAAGTCTTTTTTCTCTTCACATCAAACATATTTCTTTAAATCTAGGTCTTGATCCTTTTCCAGGCAGGAACGGTATCTCCTATGCAATCTACTCAAACCTTTCGTGATTTTGAAAACTTCAATAAGTCTCATTTTAGCTTTCTCTTCTCCATGGAAACAGTTCCACTATTTCCAATCTATTTTAATAACTGTGGTTTTTATTTCATCCCTGGAACCATTCTTTAAATCACTTAACTCTTTACTAACTTATGCATATTTGCACCCAGGCATTTCTGTTCCTGCAAACCCTTTAGGGTAGCACTCTCTATACTAAAATGTCTTTCCATGCTCTTTCTACCAAAACGTATAATCACATACTTCACAAGTACATACAGCCACTTGTTGAACTGCCATATATAGATGCACTGCAAAATAACTCCTCTGCTGCCATTTGGAAAGGATCAGCTGCAGATGCAAGTTTAAGGCTGGTATGCAGCATAACCATGGGCTTGTTTATCTGATACGTGAAGGACAGGTCTTGGAGCAAAACGCCTCACCGTATCAATTGCTACCTTATGGGATTTTTACTGCAGTGCACTCGCTATTATTCACAGATACTTAGCTGCTGAGTATCGTGGTATTTGGGGGATGTAGCATAAATAGTGCAGCAAACAAAGGCATCCAACAGCAGAGGTATTCTTTAAATAACTCTTTCAAGATAATGTTTTCAAATGCAATCAGCAAAGTGTAAAGGCAAACAGGCTCAGAGAAACCGCTAACAATAAACTTGAGGGATAAACAAAGCAAATTAGCTTTAAACATTCTTCTGAATATCCTAACCAGACCTCCCTCATCCCCTGGAAACCTCACTAATAAATGCTGAGAAGCATAGTAAATCTCTGTGTTGTCCATGTCATCCTTGGGTCGTGTGGTTTGAGGAGACAATGATAGATCTAAGCTCTGGCATCTCTTTCATTAGGATCCCCGCAGAACCCTAATAAAAGTCCAGTTTTCTTTCTTTACTACTGTTTGCCCCATGGAATATAAGACTGAGCAGATGTATTCATTGTTAAAGAAAGTAACTTCAATTCATAGTCTCAATAAAAGCTATCCATATGAACGGGAGGTAACTTAAGAAAATTCCAAGGAGTGTGTTCAGGCATCCATTTCCTTACAATGAAGACACGCTGTATTTCATTTTTTCTTCTCATTATTTTATATTTTAGCATTTTGTTATTGTTAGACAATTATGTTCCAAGTCAGAATGCACAATGGGCAGTCATTTATAGCATTCATAATGAGACAACATGCTTAAGGGATCACAGTGCTTTGATATAAAGTATATCTGCATTTTTATGTGTCACAATGTCAATTTGAGGGCAAATGAGATTGGAAAAACTAGCACAGCTAAGTTATAACATCATACATGCATTCATAAGTACACCATTTAAATTCAGCATGAAACACCACTCTTTCTGATATACCATAGCTGCTTACACCAGATCCGTTTCGTATGCTTCAGTGTCTCATTCCTTTGTCTCAATAAAGACAAATCAGATAAAACATCACCATTTCACATTACATTTCACTTAATACAGCTAAACACAGAAGGATGGAGGGGGATAAAATTACTGGATCAGATGTTTTCAAAAAGAATCTTATCTGATTCGATTTGCTGAAATGTTGTATAACCAGTAAATACAACCAATAACACAACTGAATTTTCTACTACTTCAAGTCAGTCTGGTGGATTCCTGTGGACAGAGCAGCAGGGCTGATGGGATCATTATCAACTCGCATCAAGAATCTCAAAAGGGCTATTTTGTCACTGTTGGGACTGACTGTGAGTTCACAATGGAGGCTACTTCCCCCAAGGACAAAATTCAGTTCCAGTTTAGATTCTTCTTGGTCTACAGTCTGCTCCGAGAGTCTTCTATCCTTCAGCCTACGACTGCCCTTCAATTACTGCAGCACAATGTGACAGGATCTCTGTCTCTGCTGAGTACCACCAGACCAGGACAAAGAGTGGGCATGCCACATCGGGCAGAGGAGGTTACTGACACATGCAATGCTGGATCATATGTACAATTTTATGATGGCAAGGATAGACGTTCACCACCAATTCGCTCCCTTCTATGTGGGAAGAGGATCCCCAAGCCAGTTTTATCAACTGGGAATTACATGACGCTGAGACTGGTTACTAGAGGTCAACAACCCCGAGTGGACTTTGTTGGAGATTTCACATCTTTTCAACCAGGTACAATATTTATTTTGTTATTTGCATAAAGAGAAAGTACGGTTCTATTACAAGTTTTGAAAGGAATGAGATGTGTAGCTTAAAAGGGGAACACATTCGCTGAACACTTTTAAAACTCCGTGTTAATGCAAATACACAAAGGATATTGGTATTGTCTATTCCTATTGATTTTAAAATAAGAGCAAATGTCTTAAAGAAATTACTGATGTCAATTATGGTAGGATGGATCGGTCATTGCTGAAAGAAAAAGACACATTTTCTTGAAGATTCTCATTTTACACTCATCAGAACAAAACACAAGAACACCAATTCAAGGGGAAAACCCAGAATTATACCATATGAGAGGAGATATTTGATTTGGTGGCAAGTAAAATCTGATTTGTAAAGGCATTGCCATGGTGAATGCTGATTGACGGTTAACTGCCAGGCTTTGTTTAAATTTCAAACCAGGAAGGTTGACGCTGAATGGTCAAAGCATTGTCTGACAAATGAACCAGCGAATTCCTTTCACCTGCCTTTGTTAAGTTAAAACAGATACAATGTGTAAATGTAATCTTTCAATATGCAAAGAACAGGGCCCCTTGTATTAATTTACGTAGCCTCTAAATGCAGATGCCCCACAATGCAAGCCCGACTGGCAGTCCTAAATTGCAGAATCACATCTAATATTGGACCTGCTGGTGCAAGTTTTGTATGTGTTAGCTGATTGGGCATTTGGACAACCTTTGCTGGGTAATCTTGATTATGCAAACAATTATATTGACAACCAAATAAATGATAGGCATTTCCTGGTTTATTTTACAAATGCTTGTTTTCCCCTTGAATCGGTGTTCTTGCAAATTATTCTGATGAGTGCAAGATTAAAAGCTTCAACAAAATGTTTTCCTTCAACAGCAATGATCAGGCTCTGTACCACTGATGACAGTTTTAATCAATCACTGTTAGAAATATATTTGCAGAACTAGGATGCATTATGATCACCTGTGCTTTTTAACTCCACTGCCTTGTATTGTTGGTTGGATTTGATGCAAGTCATTTTGACTTTAGGCACTTCTGTAAGACGGACAATATTGGAATAGTTGTTCATTATGCACCTAATCCAAGTTTAGCTTCTGTTACAGACATTGGAAATGGGAAAGATGTATAATCAGAAGCCAATCACATATTGTTAGCCTTAAATGTTTGACTGTAGAACTAGAAACATAGAAAATTGTAGCAGGAGTAGCCCATTCAGCCCATTGAACCTGTTCTGCCATTCAACATGATCATGGCTGATCCTGTCTTTTAGCCCCATACCCCTGCCCTCTCCCCATACCCCTCAACACTGTATAGCTTCTACAAGGTCGTTTATTTGTCAAAATGCTCAGTGTGTTGGCCTCTACACCCTTATGTGGGAGAGAATCCCACAGTTTCATCATCTTCTGAGTGAAGAAATTTCTCCTCACCTCAGCCCTAAATAGCTTAATCCCGTCCAGACCATGACCTTTCTTCTGAGCCCCCAGGCCCCACCCTCAATCAGGAGGAACCCCATCCCTGCATTCAGCCCAGCCAGAGCTTTGCACGTTTCAATGAGATGTCTCTCATTCTTCTGAACTGTAACAAAAGCTTTTATTAAAATAAGTTTAAAAGGTCAGAAAAACTTCCTGCAGCCACTATGCTATCATAGCATGGAAAATGTTGATGTTTTAAGGGCAAATGCCATCTATGTGCATGTATCAAGCACTATACATCTTGTAAGGATGCTATCACTGTACTACCTCTGGACCAGAGGCTTTGAAATCAAGTCCCATATCAGACTCCTCTGGTTACAGAGTTAATTGGAAATCAACATCTTTTCCAGCCATTATTGGGTGACACTCTAGGGCTATGTTTACAAACTTTTAACACTCAGCATTTCTCCCGACCTCTCTCTGAGGTGGAAGATCTAATTCCAGCGGTGTATGTGAAAAACATTTGTCCTTCTCCTGCAGTCTGGGATTGAAATCTCTTTTATGGTTAGGTTCCCAGGTAAGAAAAAAAGACCCAAATTAGATTTAATCCCCTTTTAATTAATCCCCATTAACATACGGCTGTCGTGTTTCAAAGTAGTATCTGTTGTCACTGTGTAATTTGAAGCCAGTTACGTAGTGTATCCCTCATGTTTGAAGATTATTACATTCTTTCATTGATAGCCCTGATTCAGCAAGGATTAAATGGCGGGGCTATGGGGGAAGGAGCAGGAGCATGAGATTAATTAATGTTTTAAAGAGCTGGCTTTGACACAATGGTCAAAATTGCCACCTTTTCTGCTGTATGATTCTATGATCTTATAATTACTATTGACCACATTTTGTAGCCTTGCCAGCTCATTGCACATTTCCTGACCTCTCACTTCCAAAGCCTCAACAGTTTCTACATTCTATCAGTTAATAAGACTGTGAGGGCAAAATTGGGTGGGCTGTTGAAAGTGACAGATGAGACACTAAGGTCCTATCTGCCTGCTTGCATGGTAATGATCACATGATGTTGGTTCAAAGCTATCCTTGTATCCTGACAAATATTTATCCCTCAATTGACATCACAACAACAAAAATGATTTAGTCATTGTCACATTGCTGTTTGTGGAAATTTGCTAAGCACATATCAGCTACTGTGTTCTGTACCTTTACAACGGCGAATACACATCACAAAGAACTTAATCAGCATAGTACCTTGAGACATCTGGTGGTCATGAAAAGTGCTACGTAAGTGCAAAACTTATCTTTCGTCTTTTTGATCTGCTGCCACGTGTCCTGCACCCTTTACCCTCCACCTAGTTGAATTTAATTTTACCCCTCTGTGTCTGTGCTGTGAAGTTTTGTGGCTACTAGTGGTTGAAGCAAAATAAAGGAATGTTCATAAGAACAAATAAACATAAGAAATAGGAGTGGGGTAGGATATTTGTCCTCTCAGGCCTCCTTCTATAAAAATCTGCTCCTACCCCTCAATGCCTAGATATTTCAAAAAACCTTCTCTTTAAATACTTTCGGTGAGCTATTCTCCACAACTCTGTGGAGTGAAGATTCCAGACGTTCACTGCCTTCTGAGGGGAAAAAAAATCATTTACATTTCAGTTTTAAATGAGTATCACCTTATTCTGTAACTGTGTTTCCTAGTTTGAGCTTCTCCCACGAGCAGAAACATTTTCTCAAAATCTATACTTTCCAGCCCCTCCAAAACCTGTATGTTTCAATAGGATCACCCCTCATTCTTCTAAACTCTAATGAATAAAAGGCTAACCTGTTCTCAATAAGTGACCCCTTCATCCCGGGAATTAGTCTAGTGAACTGCCTCCAAAACCAGCATATCCTTTCTTAAATATGGAGATCAAAACTGCACACAGTTCTATCAATACCCTGTCTGGCTGTAAAAAGATTTTTTTGTGTTTTTTAAATTCAAACCCTGGCAATAAAGGCCAACAGTTCTTTTGCCTCAATTACTTGCTGCACTTATGTGCTAACTTTTTGTGTTTCATGCACAAGAACACCCAAATCCCTATGTGCTGTAATTTTTTGGAGTCTCTCTCCATTGAAGTAATAGATAGAATCATAATTCATTCTACCAAAGTGCATGACTTCACAATTTCCAACCTTGAACTCCATCTGCCTACCCACTTAATCTGTCTGTATCTCCTTGTAGATTCCTTGTGTCTTCATCACATCGTGACATCCCACCAATTTTTGTATCATCAGCAAACTTGGATACATCTCATTCTGTCCCCCTCCTCCAAGTTAATATCAGCTGATGATTTTTTTTGTGAAACCTTATAGCATCTCTCTGCTCTTTTAATTCAGTGTGAACTCAGTTAAAGAAAACTGTTGCAAGAGGAAGCAAAGAGATGTTACAAATTTGCCAAGCAATTCTTTTAGGAAGTGTCAGAGAACACTAAATAACCATGCCACAGCACCTTCCAAATTCATAAACATCTCAAAGTCCAGAGGCAGCAGATACATGGGAAAAAAGATCACCTTCAAGCTCCTCCCTCCCACCACCAGGTCACACATCCTTGCAATTATATCACCATTCCTTCAGTGTCATTGGGTCAAAATCCAGTAATCCCTTCCCAACAGAATTGTGGCAGTTCCTACACAATTTGAGCTGCAGTGGTTCAAGAAGGTGGTTTATTATCACCTTCCTAAGGGCAATTAGGGATCGGCACTAAATACAGGCTGGTCCAACCAGCTGCACCCACCTCCTGTGAATTAATTTTTAAAAATTAATTTCCTGAAGGACATCTGCAAACCATGAACCTAACAACATTTGTGGCCATTTCTTCCATAAAATAGCAAATATGAATATCATTTTTGAATTCAAATGAAATTCATGAATTTAATTCCACAATATGATTAGAATTCTTAACCTCATGGTAGTGCAGTACCATATCTGCTATGTTACATTGGGACAACTCTCAATTATCAAATTTAATTATTCACCAAATATTTAAATATCGGGGCCAGTGGGAAAAATGCACTCTTCACTGACTTTTGAGAGAGCATGTCCACAAAGAACTGCAGAAATCTCTGTGGCATAGATTCCCCATCTCTAGGTAAAGGGATCACCAGGCATCCAGTAACAGTGATGTCATCAAGGAGGCTAAGGAGTATTTACATAAACCAGGAAGTAAATTGATTAATTCTCACTTTTAATTGCAATTTGCAGAAATCATAATAAATAATTGGATCGTGCTGAAGGCGTTCAGGAAGAAGCTCAAATGTAAACAAACTTTAAAAAGAATTTTAAGACAATATTTTTTTTTAGTTAGAAGGAAATTTGATATACCACAACAGAGGTTAATTTTTCAAGACTAGATTGTTTATCTATGCAGAACTTTTATACGGTATTAAAAGTCAGGTACACCTCATTCAACAAGTGTAACTTTCCCAATTTGTTATAACCGGACTAATAAAGCAGGATTTTTTTCTGATCGGACTGAAAGGGTGAGCCCCCCTGAGAGAGTGAGCCCCCCCTAAGAGACAGTGCCCCCCTGAAAGCTACAATTTATAGCTGCAACATCGTGTGAAGCTTTGGCTTCACACTATGGCAGTGATGTCACTGGAGGGCCAGAATGATTGACAGGGCCAGGTGGCCATAGCAGCAGGTATGTCTGGCAAGAAGTAGGTTTGACCAGATCAGAAGTGATGGCAAGGTCAGAGGTCTCTTGTTGGAAGAGGAGGATCTGATGTCTTGGTGGAAGGTTACTGGGGGAAACACCAAACACAGATGGGCATCTGGCCCCTGGAGGCAGGGACGACACCAAACTCCTGAATTGACCCAGCCTTTGCCTCCATAAATATTTCGGGCTACACTGAGCTCGCGAAAGCTCTGATGAAGAGCCATCCAGACTCAAAACGTTAGCTTGCTCTTGCTCCGTGGATGCAGTCTGACCCGCTGTGATCTCTAACATTTGTTGTTTTCAGTACAGATTCTACCAAATCTGCAGTAATTTGCTCCTAAACCCCACATAAAGCTGACAAGCCGCTTGACAGTGTAACCAGTGGCCTCGTGATCATGTTGTGATGTTCCAACCCACCTCCTTAGGTCTGGCTTAAATAAAGGGAGAAATAAGTGGATTAGCAGCAGCTTGGATCAGGAAAGCAATTTTAAAGACTTTAACCATCTCCCACATCCCCACCCCAACACAACTCAGTCTGTTTTTGTGGAACTAAAATTTGGCCTATAATGTAAAAAGGGCAAATTCTCATTAGTTTTGTGAAGTATAATTGTTACAGACTTGGCGTCGTCAACAGCCCTCACTGCAGCGAATCATAGGATTGTTACTGACTTCTGAACTTCTATATTTAACTGCACGTGTGGATTCAAGATTAACTGTTATAATCAATAATTGAATATTAAAAATTAATGAGTATGGTTAATACATCAATACTCAGTGTATCTAGAGAGAGAGGTATTTATTCCCCAGCATGTTACAATGCTGTTAGTCATGTTTAATTATATAGGTGAAGTGTTTAGTTTCTACTTTTGTGTTAATTGCATCTGTAAATGTATCTTGGATGGATGTACAAGCAATTGGTGTGTGTGGAATGAGCTTGTATTAAATAATTCAGTCAGACAGCAGCAAATATTGGTAGCAGTGGTCGAGCATTGACAGGTAGTAGTTGGTGTGAAATTACAGAGTGCCTACAAGCCCAAAAACAAAGTTACTTAACTAAGAACTCATGCTTCTACTCATGTACCCGGATTAGTTTTAGTTTCATGTGTATTGCACATCAGCCTGTATAATATTTCTTGTCTTTTGTTCTGCTATCTGTATGTGTAACTACTACTCCATCAGTATCCTTAAAGTAAAAGTAAAGTCACCATGGTCTCAGTGTACCATAGAATTGCACTTCATTTCAGAGAGAGACTAATGATGGTGGTTTAACCTGAGGGTCACCATACCTCAGGCAAAGGAGAGGGTGAAAAGGAGTCCTTTGTGGTAACCGTAAAGAGTCCCCTCATCCTGACTTATCCATCAAACATGCTCCAACAGCTCATGTTTGAGCATTGGCTAATATCCACTTATGTAACTTGCTTGATTATGAAGAGTCAGTTAGTACCAGAATGAAAATCCTGTCTATAAACAGTTGTATGTAATAATGTGGCTGTAACCTCTTGGCGTAAGGACTATAAAGGGCCCATCATAGTCATTGCCAAATCATTCCAAACCGTGCCCCCATCCTTTTTCCTCTGTCAGTACCAGGTTCATAAACTGATATTGGGCAATGTAATAGGCCATCGACTGGTTACTAAAGACAATAACCTTGCTAGAACACTGGGATTATGGAAATGGAAATAATGATGTAGGTAGAGAACCTGAAACTTTGAAGTTTTAAATTGCAGGTTTCAAGTCTTCAACATGCAGTGAAGAACAATATTTCCAATGTCAAAATGGAAAGTGCATTCCCAAGAGTCTGGTCTGTGATTCACAAGGTATTGATAACTGCGGGGATGGCAGTGATGAATCTGAACTTCTTCCATCAAAATGCAAAGGTAAGTCTGATTGACAATCCCATTTAAGGCAAATCGATGTGGAGTAAAATGATCCTGATTTTCCACTGAAGGATTTCACCCTTCAAGATGAGAATATTGCTGCTAAGTGGCGAGGATTCACTTTAATTTGGACAACATCTCTGCCTTGCCTTGTCTTGCCTTTTTAGCACATCTCATTTAGTGTTTCATTCTGAATCTGATATAGTTCTGTCCTGCCTTGCCTTTTATAGCAAACAAAAAGCCAGCCTGCTTGTTTTGCTTGCCAACACTGAATAGTCAAGGAGGTGTGCATGTTCCTGTATGGCATTAAGTTTAATATTAATATTACACCAGCGTGTGCAAGCAACTTTCGCAGAAAGCACACTGCATGTGCTTCCAAAGGACATGTCAGAAAGTCGAAGGGGAGTAGTCTTATGATGAGTGTAAAGGACAATGGTTAGTCAAGGGATTCCTATACAGTCAGTCAAGGCTATCACTAGATCACAGTCCAGGGTGTAGGCCACAGTCAGTCCTTGGTGGTATATGTAGTAAACATCCAGAGGTTCATCAGAGATTGGCCCATGCTGTGTTGGCAAAGTGGGAAACTAAAGTGTACGGATTGGAGCATTTATGTTGGAACACAGAGGAGGTCATGAGTGTGAGGTGGGATGGGGAGGGTTTGGGGAGTGGGCAATTCCAAATTTCTGATTGGGATCTGGAACAGCATGAGAGTACTGTCAGAGTGGGGGTATTGGGTTCTCAAGACTCTGCCACTTTGGCAAAAGAAGAAACCGATAAACTAATGTCACCATACTGTTTTTGTGGGTTTTTCCTCTGTGTAAAGCAACTGCTGTGTTACCTATACTAGAGTGACTACACTTCAAAAAAGACTTCCCTGACAGTTAAGCATTTTGGGATGACCTTGAAGCCAAATGACCATTTCTTGTGCAATATGACTGGTCACTGTGTTGTACTTATGGTTGATGGCTGGTGACTTTGAAAAACGTTTTGTAAAAAAACTGCTGGTTACTTATTTGTCAGTGGGAGATCTTAATTAATTTCTAATACGTCAGTAAATTATTTGCTTCAGTTACATATCCATTTAAATTATCAGTAACAATATTTTGCATGGTGGATGTGTGATGCTGTGGATGTATGGCGCTTCTGTGACTATAACTATACCTTTTGAAAGGCTTTTAATTTTGTGAATGCTTATTTGAGCTTGTTGTTAGCATTCACTGTGTTCTTCTTTCATAGAGATCTTGTTTAGCTCAGCCAGTGTTGGTAAAGGCAACCCAAGCACTATGGAGCCTAACAATTCACTGTCACGTTCCGTCAACTTCACTGCTCTTTGTCAAACACCAAATAGACATCATCACCTTCTACCAAACAGTGTTCCTTATCCAGACTCCGTCACAGGTACTTTGCTTAAACCATTACTTAATAATTTTTCCTTTACTTTTAGTGCAGTTGACAGAGCCCATAAAGTTTGTTCCCTTACAATAAAAGCACTTAGACAACGGTTTCATTGGTTTCCAATCTCGTCAAATACAGTGGCCTCATGCCAACAGTATTCTGTTGAAGATGTCAACTCATGTACCCAGCTACAGCAAGTACCACAGAATGGCATCACGTACACAGGGCACAGGATTTTGTTTCCCTCAAGGGTTTCACCTTGAGGGCTATGTTTCAATTTTTGGGAGCTAACTTTATGGTTTTGGGAGACTTCTTTCTCATTCTGACTGACTCCTTTATTAGTTGATGCAGTTACATTGTAACATCCCTTTCTGAATTTATGTTGATGTATGGGACATTTGGAGGCAAACATAGAAGACTGCATCAATATCTTCAATAATTATCACCCCTCCATTAAACCTAAAGCTACAGCACATGAGGAAAGCATTCATTCCCTAGAAACTGCAGTATTGAAATTGCTGCAAGGCAATGGACCTAACTTAGCAAGAACGTTTTTTTCTCACAATAACTGACAAGTTTTCAACACACATAAAGCCATTATCCCAGACACACCTTCCAGATTGGTGGGGTCACAGCTAATGTGCTTTCATCTCACGTTCACAAAGCTGGAATATTTTAACCAGGCAATAACTACCCTAAGATAGAGGAGCAGAATTAGGACATTCAGCCCATCAAGGGCTCCAACCTTGGATTCCATTCCACCAATCATGGCTGAAATGTTTCTCACCCCATTCTCCTCCCTTCTTCCTGTAACCCTTGATTCCCCTTGCTAATCGAGAACCTATCTATCTCCCTCTTAAATGCACTCAATGACTTTGCCTCCACAGCCTTCTGCGGCAATGAGTTCCATAGATTCACCACCCTCTGGCTGAAGAAATTCCTCCTCATCTCAGTTCTAAAGGGTTGGCCCTTCACGCTGAGGCTGTGCCCTCAGATCCCAGTCTCTCCTAGTGGAAACATCATCTCCACATTGACTCTAAACAGGCCTCTCTGTATCTCGTAAGTTTCAGTGAGATCGCCCCTCATCGTTCGAAACTCCAAGTACAGACCCAGAGTCCTCAGCGACTCCTCATATGCAAGCCCTTCATCTCTGGGATCATTTTGTGAAACTACTCTGGACATTCTCCAATGCCAGCACATCCTTCTTTAGATACGAGGCCCAAAGTTGCTCACAATATTCCTAACGCAGAACTTTAAGCAGCCTCAGCAGTATAGTCCTGCTCTTTTATTCCAAACCTATCAAATGAATGCTAACATTGCACTTGTCTTCCTAATTGTCAACTGCTTCATTTTAAACGCTCATAATTTTGATGTTCATGCCAATTATTTTTTAATCTTCATGGCTGAAAACTGATGTACTACCTCACCAATAATTCACTGCTCCTTCTCTCCATTATAACCCCTCTCCCTTTATGTAGCCCCTCCTCCTATATGCTCCTTCCTTTCATGCTTTCCCTCACTCATCCATGGACTTTCTCTCTCCTCTCTCATTTCTCTCTCCCTCATGTTCTCAGTCTCTCCTCCATGGGGTGTCACAGTGGTTAGCACTGCTGCTTCACAGCTCCAGGGACCTGGGTTCAGTTCCACCCTCAGATAACTGTGTGGAGTTTGCACATTCTCTCCATGTTTGTGTGGGTTTTCTCCAGGGCGTTGGTTTCCTCCTACAGTCCAAAGATGAGCAGGTTAGGTGGATTGGCCATGGGAAATGCAGGATTACTGGGGTAGGGTAGGGGTTGGGTCTGGGTGGGATGCTCTTCAGAGGGGGCAGTCTAGAACTCGATGAGCTGAATGGCCTGCTTCCACACTGTAGGGATTCTATGAAATGTAACCATTTTCCATATACTTTTATTCCTCCATGTTCTTGAAATTTCCACAAAAACGTCCTTCCTCCTCTATAACCCTCCCGAGCTCTACTCTAAATGCACTGTTATCCCTCCAAGGACCCCATTCATCTTTTCTCCATTCGTCTCTTCCCTTTTCCACGTACTCCCTCTCTCATCAGGATAAGCCTTTCACCTCCTGGTATCCCTTTCCTCCATATAACCCCCTCACCTTCCCATATCCCCTCTCTCTTTCATGTACCCCCACTTCCCTTCATATACCTCCTTCCTCCTCCATGTACTCCTTCTCCTTCATGTACCCCTTACTCCTCCATATTCTCCCTCTTCCATGTACCCCCTCTCTCCCTCCACCTACCCCCCACCCCTTCCATTTCTTCCTTGAAATTCTCCCTGTACAGTATGGAATTCACAAGTGTATATTACTTTGAAAAAGTGTTTGATAAAATGTCACATATTAGGTTTACTTAGTAAAATTGAACCCACTGGATAATAGGGCAGGAAATGCTTGAAACAAAATGAGTGGAAGGCTGCGAGACATGGTAGTGATTGGCAGCCTTTCAGTCTGGAGAAAGCTAGCCAGTGGAGATTCCTAAGTATCTCTGTGCTTAGGACTACTGCTGTTTTCAGTATCCTTTCAGGGCTTGAACTTGGGAGCACAGAGACCAATTTGGAAATTAGCAGATGACAAAAACTGGACATTGTAGGAACCACTGACAAAGATAATAATTTTCAAGAGGATGTAGACAGACCGATGATCTGAGTGACTGCATAGTAGACAGCATTCAATGTAACCGAGTTTAATGTGAAATATTTTGATTGGATGAATCAAAAAAACAATAGGTGTTAAATGTGCAAGCTTAGATGGAGAGCTGGTGATAATTGTGCCAAACTAATAGGTTAATAAAGCAATTACTAAGCATTTGGATTTTTGGGCCTTTGTTGTTTGAGGGTAAAAGATACAAAAACCAGCAAGTTATGTGAAATCAATATAAAACAACAATTTGGTCCCAGCTGAACTTCTGTGTCTGATTGTGGGCTCTCAGGCAGGACATGAAGGCTTTAGAGAGCATGTAGAAGAGATTGGCTGGAGTTCCAGACTGAGAGATATAATGAAGGATTGTACTATTTTGTGATACAGATTGTAGTGCACACATTGGAGAAGCTAGGGCTGTTCTGTAGTAAGTAGTTAGATTTTGGAGTGTTCAGGCAGGTGGTAGATAATGAATTAATAGTAGCTTCAGAAGGGAATGTGATAACTACTTGAAGGCAAAATGTTGCAGGGTTTCAGGGAACGAGCAGTGGAAACAACTAGATTCTTTTTTTGAAAGAGCTGGGACATACTCCTTAGGCCCGTGGCTTGCTTCTATTTTGTGTTATTCAATGCTGTTAAGATCCAATGTCCTCACTTCCTCCAAGGGCACTCTGGCTGTCTTCCATCCACACACTCAAATGGTAGGTCAGGGTCAGGCCCTGAAGCAGAAACTCCTTAAACCAGAAGTTGCTAATCCTGAATCAAGTCCAGGACCTGAGCTGCAGTAAGGGCCACTCTGGTGGGTTATGTCAAGTTTTGCAAGAGCAGATGTAAATCCAACCAATCGGGGAGCAGGATTTTTAAGTGGGGAGAGTCCCCCCTTAAAGAATTGCCTATGTTTTTTCACCTTTCCCTCCAATGGGTTGATTGGCCTACTATTGAAGAAGTGGACTGGGCTAGACTTGCTTGGGTGGAAACAAGGCTGAAACACAAGCATTAGAGATCAGGCTGCTGTAGACACATAACATGCTTGTGTCTTAACTTCCACATTGAGCATTGCTCCTGCTAAGTCTCCAGCTGTGTGAATACTGGCAATTTAGCCTGCAAATAAATCACAGTATTGCAACAAATATGTTTTTTAGTTGATTAGTATTTAGTGATGTAGCTTGTACTTTCTTTTTCTCTTCCTTGCAGACAACAAGTCATACCTTTCACTGCTCACACTCTACATCGTCCTGGGAGTTATCGCTGGAGTGGTCCTGCTGTTCTGGTGTTGCTGGTTACCAGGCTGGTTTATTTGGAGGCTCAGTATCTGCAGATTCCTCCCATGCTGTAACTCCTTCTGTGCAGCCTGTCAGCTCTGCACACATAGCTGCTGTCATAACGACAACAGTCGACTGGCCAAGGTCGCACCACAGAGCACAGTGCCTGTATCTGTGTAATTGGCACTTCCAAGGCTACTCTCCCACCCTTTGAAAGCACATTACTAATGGCCTGCAATACTGTAACCTGACATTCTCAATTGAGTTTGGACTAATGTAACATTTACAATATGTTTGTTTGACTAATTCATGGATTCCCTGTTTTTTCAGGAATGAAAGAGTGTAGGTATTCTGTTGACTTTCATGTGGTTTAAGCAATATGAGATAGTACTAATTCACCTTAGAATTAGAATTAGAATCCCTACAGTGTGGAAACAGGCCCTTTGGCCCAACAAGTCCACACCGAACCTCAGAGCATCCCACCCAGATCCATCCCCCATGACCCACCTAATATACACCCTCTACCTCCCTGAACACTACGGGCAATTTAGCATGGCCAATCCGCCTAACCTGCACATCTTTGGACTGTGGGAGGACACCGGAGCACCCGGAGAAAACCCACGCAGACACGGGGAAAATGTGCAAACTCCACACAGACAGTCGTCCGAGGCTGGAATCGAACCCAGGTCCCTGGCGCTGTGAGGTAGCAGTGCTAACCACTGTGCCACCGTGTTGCCCAAGTTTCATTATTAGTCTGTTGCATTCTGTAAAAAGACAGATTTCTATCATTTGGAAGTGAGTGGATTTCAATCGATTTGGAAAGGTATCTGGGTCCTTTGAAGCAATGGGAAAACTGCATTTTCACCACTAACTACACCACTATGAATAAACATAGACATCCTGGAAGATTTATTTCAGAGATAAGCCTCAGCTGTCCCTTTGCCACTGGTGCACTGGAACATATTTTATGCAATGTATCATGGATTCTGGGAGGCCTAGATCAATATGTTCAATCAAGCTACTCTCGGAAGTACAAGTTGATGGATGCCAACAGGTAAAGCAGCAAATGGCCTAACCTTCTGTCTCAGCAGCTGAGATACCTATTTGTTGTTTTGTCGCAACACATGTTTTCATGTAAGGTAGGGAAGTATGTTAAAGAAAATGAACTGGCTCAGACTTTCCCTTTACACTAAGGTTTAAATTGCTCAGTGTTGGAGCTAGTGCTGTGTAGGGACAGTCATCTGCAATTGCCTAACTCTGATGTGGTGACACTGTGCTCCTTACTTTCCACTGTTAGTGTTGCTTTATGCGGTTGGATTTTACAGACCTGCATGGGGTATATTTTTGGTCAGGTTTGGAGCATCTAAAATATGTTGGGTGGCCAGCCCACTTTAATCCCAATCACCTCTGACCTATTCCCTCTTAATATGGGCAGAGTGGGTCAGTTTTCCATTAGGCCAACCACCTATGGGATTATTGAGCCCTGAACCTGTAGAAAGTGAGTCTGGAGAATTAATGATGGAAAGTAAGGAGATGGTTAAATGAATTAAATGCATCTGTTTTATCAGACCTCACTATAGAGGATATGTTTAACATTCCAGAATTAGGTGTTCATTAGAAAATGGAAGGAGGACAGCACTAAAGAAGCTTCCAATCACCAGGGAACTGATACGGTGCAAGTTGGAGCTTTGGATTGACAATTGCCCAGCTCCTGATAGTCTTCATCCTAAGTTATTAAAAGGAGTGGCCAGTAAGATAATGGGGATGTGTTGGTTTTAATTTTCCAAAATTCTTTAGATTCAGGGAAAGTTCTATTAGATTAGAATGTAAATGCATTATTTAAAAAGGGAGGGAGCCAAAAACGTGAAACTACAGACCAATTAACTTAACCTGTATCATAGGGGAATTGTTTGAAGCTGTTATTAAAGTTGTTAAAGCAGGCCACTCAGGAAAATTCGAGGCAATCAGGCACAGTCAGGACGGTTTTTGTGAGAGGGAAATCAAGTTTTATCAATTTACTGGCATTCTTTGAGGAAGTAACGTGCTGTGGATAAGGATGGATGTGTGGTACTTAGATTTCCAGACAGCATTTGGTAAAGTTCCACATCAAAGACTGCTGAAGAAAACAGGAGCTCATGATGTAGGAGGTAACATGTTAGCACAAATAGAAGATTAGTTGGTAACAAGAAACAGAGTAAGGTAAAAGGTAAAGTCACCATACTTTTATCAGACTATAGGGTTGTTTCATTAAAGAGTGACAACTGGTGGTGACTTAAACTGAAAGGCACCACACCTAAGGTGAGAGGAGAGGTTGAGAAGGAGAATGTCAGACACAAATGAGTCTTTCTCTAGTTGGCAAGATGCCCTGTGCCATAGAGATCAGTGATGGGGCCTCAATTTTCTATAGTTATAATAGAAGTTACTGTAGTCCCACAGGACCATAGGCTACTCCATCATTAAAGAGAGATGGAGAGACAAGTGGCAATGAGTTTATCTGAGGATTACCGTGCCTCAATTGAAGGACTGGATTGAGAAAGCAGGCCCTTTAAGGTGACCTTAGCCTATACTGGATATGAGCCCATGATATTGGTCTTACTGCATCACAAACCACCTATCCAGCCAACTGAGCTATGACTTGGATGAAGAGAACAAAGATATGGTTACTAACTTTTCTGATGGTACAAAGATAGGAAAGTAAGTTGTGAAGAAGACAGAAGGAGGCTGAAAAGGGATGCAGTTAGGTTAAGAGGGTAGGTAAAGATCTGGCAAATGAAGTATAGTGTGGGAAATTATGAAATTGTCTGTATTGGCAGGAAGGATAAGCAAAAAGCATATTATCTAAATGTAGAGGCTGCAGAGCTCTGAGATACAGAGGGATCAGAGATGCAAGAATTGTAAAACATCAGTGTTCAGTGACAGTATATTTTTTGCCTACGTCCAATTAATGAATTGGCATCGCTGGTTAGGCTATCATTTATTTCCTATCCCTAATTGCCCTTGAACTGAGTGACTTGCTAGGCATTTTCAGAGAGCAGTTACGAGTCATCCTGTGGGTCTGGAGTCACATGTAGGTCAGACCAGGTAAAAACAGCAGATTTCCTCCCCTGATCCAGATTGGGTTTTACAACAATCAACAATGATGACCCAGTCACTATTAGGCTTATTTCCCATTTCTTACTGAATTCAAAGTTCAGAATCTGCCATGTTGGCATTCAAACGCATGTCCCTTCGAACACTGGCCAGTGATTCTGGATTACTAGCCCACCATTTATTTGAAAAAAAAAATAGAATATTATAATTTATTGCATGGGAGGTTGAATACACAAGAAGGGAGATTATACTTCATTTATACAATAGCTTTGGTGAGACCACATTTGGAATACTGTTTAGCCTCACTGATCTAATTGTTTCCGGAAGGATGAAAATGCTTTGGAAGTGGTTCAGAGATGGTTTACCAAACTAATACCTGGAATGGGCAGCTTGTCTTATGAGGAAATGTTGGCCAGGATGGGCTTGTATCCTCTGGAGCTTATGGAGTTTAGAAGAGGACTAGATAACTTGATTGAAACATTCTGAAAATGATCCTGAGGGAGCTCGAAAGGATAGCTGTAGAAAGGATATTTCTTGTAATGGGATAATCTCAAACAAGGAGTCATTGTTTAAAATTAAGGGGTCACCCAGTTAAGGTAGAGGTGAGAATATTTTTCTCACAAAGTTTCATGAGTCCTTGGAATTCATTTTCTCAAAAAAAAACAGCAGAAGCAGAGTCTTTACATCTTTTTAAGACAGAAGTAGATTCTTCAAAAGTAAGGAGTTGGAAGTTTATCAGTGTAGCTGGTGATGTGGTGTTATCAGATCAGCCACAATCTTATTAAATGGTGGGAAAGTCTTGAGGAGCTGAGTGACCTCCTCGTGCTGCTACTTCATATATTCACATGAGGCTTGTATGTTCGCAGGTTTGCTAGGTAAGTGTCAAAACTGATTAAGGATAGTTAGTGGATGTTGTTTACAAAGACTTTACTAAGCATTTGACTAGGCCCCTCATGGTAGGCTGGTCCAGAATATGAAGTTACATTGGATTCATGGTGAGATGGTAAGTTGGATACAAAATTGGTTTGGTCATAGAAGACAGAGGGTAGTTGTGGAGGCTGTTTTTCTGATTGGAGGTCTGTGACCAGTGGTGTTCCACAAGAAGCAGTGCTGGGATTTCTGTTGTTTGTAATAAATGTAAGTGATTTAGATGAAAATGTAAGTGGCCTGATTAGTAAGGTTGTAGACAACACAAAAATTTGTGGAGTTATGGATAGTGTGGAAGGTTGTCAAAGGATACAGCAGAATATAGATCAGTTAGAAACTTGTGTGGAGAAATGGCTGATAGAGTTTAATCTGGACATGCGTGAGGCGATGCATTTTGGGAGGTCAAATGCAAGAGGAAAGTATACAATAAATGGCAGGATCCTTAACACCAAAGATATATAGAGGGATCTTGGGGTCCATGTCCATAGCTCCCTGAAAGTGGCAACACAAGTGGATTAGGTAGTAAAGAAGGCAAAAGCATGCTTTCTTTCATCAGTCAGGGCATTGAATATAAAAGTTGGTCAGCCATGTTGCAGTTGTATAAAACTTTAGGCCACATTGGGATATTGTGTGCAGCTTTGGTTGCCACACTGTACAGTATTCACCGCCACATAGTGAATTTTCCATGGGAATTTCTTCTTAGTTTTGTTTCTTGAATGAAAGAGAGGGATAGCAGTGGTGGCATCCCAGACTAATGAAGCTACAAATGGTATTCACCCATGGGCGCTGCTTACCAGACAAGGGATGGTTCTACCTCCATTTTACCTACATGTGGAGGTTAGGCTTTCTAAAAGGTGCCATAATTGAATGATGCCACGTGTTGTGAGTGAACCAACAACCCATCTCCAACTCAGCTGTTGCCTGCCTCATTGTGGGGGCACACTCTCCTTTGCTCAGTCCTGAAGTAAACAGGAAACATAGCACTGTCTAAGTTTGCAGCTCATTTGTAGCATCATATTGTGAATGAATGCTTGCTTCTTGGGAATGACCACAATCTGTTTTTGCAAAAACAGTTTTTTGCTCTAACCCCACAGAGCAAGCTTCTGAAAACCCAAGGTCATGGCCTATGACATTATGTTTTCTCCATCATTATTTAAGCTACA